TTGTCCTTGATCTGCCACAAGCCCAGAGGCAGCAGTCTGGAATGAAATAATAGCTGGAAGGATTGTACAAGGAAACCGCCTAATTGATGTTTGTGGGCCTGTGAACAGCTTGGTGATATTCACTTTGGTTAATGACTTTTAAGCACACACAGAAGTCATTTGTACTGACCTCAATTAGAGAAGCGGAGCCACCCACTGATCCAGGGAATCCAGTGGAAATCCATACGTTATGCACTTTTCCTTATCGATCCATTACATAACAGATGCAGCTGACAAAAATCGTTAGGTTTCATTTTTAGCCAAAGAAATTCTATCAAGTGGGCTGGGGCATAGAAGGAAACAGCTGGCTTTATTTCCCTAGTTCAGTGGTTCGGAAAGTTGGATCAACTTGTCCTTGGTTTCATGTGATAGTGTTCGGGAGAATTTGTGTGCAGTGGAATAACAAAATATTTGTGTAATCAGATGGATCCATTTGAGTAAAGTAGCTTCAAATCATACTAAAAAATGGTAAGGAAGATTGTAATCTAAGCAGATTTTTAAAAAGATTTATATATTTTAAAGAAAGATTTATGTACTCTGTGTACAAGTGTTTTGCCTGTGCGCGCGTGTGTGTGTGTATAATATATGCATATCCTCTTAAAGTGCAGAATTTTATTTTAACTGCTGAGCCATCTCTCCAGCACCAAGAAAGAAAAATTAATTCCATAATTCTTAGTGAAGCTTTCTTTCTACTTTGTTCCTTAACAGACTTGTGATAATTTAAAAGATATATATATATATATATATATATATATATATATATATATATATATATATTAATGTGATAGTACTCACACTTTGTGGACAAGTTAATCAAAATATTTGAGGGGCACCAAGGCCCCACTTAGCCTTCACAGGTTTTGGAGGCCTGCCTTACTGTGTCCTATAATCTCTTGTTGTCACTCTGGAGGAGGAAATCTACCTTCAGGCCAATGTTACCATTATTTTATAGTGGTGGACTCCGAGAGTCATAGCAAAACTGTCAATCTGGTTAATGTTCAAGTAAGGCAGGGCTAGAGGGCTCTCTCCTTAAGAGCATCCTCCTGTGGACCCAGAAAGAGTCCACTCTATTCCACCACGGTCCTATCATAGCTTTCGGTTCCCCAGGGAAAGCTGAGTAAATAAAAACAGCTCATAGAAATGGCACCTGATGCAGCACACCAAGTAATTAATTCTATGTCCCCAGCCACGAGATAGTCTGAATAGAGAAGATGTTCAGCTTCAGCTACCACTCTGGTGGTTAACTGTGTGTTAAGTAGTAGTTCAGTGTTAATAGGTTTTGTGTCCTAGAAGACAAAAGCCTTGGGACCGTAGAGGAACTCAGCAATTTGTACTTCCCACAGCAGATAATGTTTTGCAGATCTGGTTATATCAAGTTGGAGCCCTGTACTTCCCATAGCAGAACACTAAAGCAGAGATTTGATAATGTTTTACCAATTTTCAGGTCAGGTAGTGGTTGAACCAGGACTTCAATGAATAATGCCTGCCAAGAGCTTTTCAAAACTCCCTGAAAACTCGTGTCTTTAAATCAAACGACACGATTGAGACAATGATTTCTTTGCTAACGTGTGACTTTCCTGATGATTCTGTAACTGTGACGCCCCCCCCCCCATTGAAAAAGGTGAAACTGAAAACAGGCAATGGCTGTTTTTTCAGATTTGCTGTTTTAGGGACTTGAGCAAGGACTTTTATAGTGAAGAAGCCAGCCTTTGTTTTCGGTGCATCACTATTCTCTTCTTGTAATGGATCAAAAGACCAATACAGATAAAATAATAACAGTAAAGTGCCCGGAAACTTGAGAGGATACTGCAAATGTCACATCGTGAGGGACTTGAACTTCACCTTCAAAATCATGTATCGAGCTCATGTATCCTTCTCCAAGCGTGGTCAAACATTCAAATATTTGCTTTCGGAGTAATTTGCCCTAATGACTTGGAAGCATTTTTAAGGAACAGTGGTGGCATTGTTCTGCCCCTGCAGCAAGCACATCCTTTGTCAGATGTCCTGAGAGACGGAAACAGTCCACCAGGATGGGTTGAAGACATGGTGCTACGTTATTAACCTTGTCTTCAACTTGACAAAGTGTTGGGTGTAGATTATTGTATCACCGGCACCGTGGAGACACGCCCACCTGGCACTTAGCTGCTGGCTGCCAAGCAGTAGAATGAGAGCTCTCTGAGCTTTTCTGCAGGCCACTCCCAGGTTTTTTGTCATTTAGAAAGCGCTAGAATTTTTGGAAAAGTCTTAAATGATTTCGAATAGGAAGTTGCTTGTTGGCAATTCCGTTTTCACAGGTATTGAGAACTTCTGGGCTGATCATTTAAACTTGATCAGTAGAAACTAGAGAATTTCAGCCATGACAGAAACTCGTGGATCTCTCCTCTGCCTGCTATTCAGCAGTGAGATTTGGGGACTGGCATATGTTGTCTTTTGGGAGACCCTAGATAGGAATAGAGATACTCAAAAAGCAGAAACTTTCTCTGTTAAAGAAAGAATAAAAATGTCTCACTGGGAAAGGATCTGAGAGTTGGCAGATGGCTCCTTTAAAAGTTCTTGCTTCACGTGTCCGCCTGCCTGCTAAAAGACTCAACAATGGACTGCGATTTCTCTTCTAGTAAAATTCGCCCCATACAGTGTTAATAGTTTTCAAATACTGAAAGGGGCATTTATTGTTAAGGCAGGAAGCGAACTGAAAATTTTGTCACACTTAAAATCATTCTGTTTGCTACTGTTGATGTGCGGAGAGAGAACCTGAGGTCAGGATCGCTAAGTGAAAAATAGGTGTGATGAGACTGTGTTTTTTTCTTTGCTTCACGTTAACGTGTTTCGTTAATGTGTTAATTAATGCATTAATGTGTTTCGTTAGGTTGGAAGGGGTCAGCGAGTGAGAGAGAACAGGCCTGTAGGACAAGGAGTTAAATCTGATAGGGTTCCAACGTTATTCAAGAAGACTTTAGAGCCAATGGTGAGCCAACAGGTGCAAAGATGTGGTGTGGACCTTCAGGCGAGTGTGAAATGTAAGCTGAGGAGGAAGGCAGGGGTAGTGAACAGGGGCTGGAGGAGGAGAAGCAGCAAAAGCAGGTACCAGGTGGATCGGGCAACACCGACGAGACAGAGAAATGTCAGGGAATAACTCTTGCCGGCAAAACACAACACGACGGGTCACTAAACAACTCAGGTGCCCCTCTCTGGAGTGACTAACCGTCCCATTTATTTTTAGAAGTGCACATCCAGATCTCAGTTCCAGAATGACATAGGGAACCTAGAGACGGTTTGTAGAATTTCCTTCCAGCCCTGTAAATTGCATAATCCTATGTTAAACATTAGGTCAAATGTTGAAATTTTATATTCCGAAAATGTTAATTGTAAAGTGTGGGGGAGTGCATCTCTTTTAGGAGCCAGAAAAATCTTGGCTTATATTCTGAATAGTTCATACATATGTAAGAAGTAGCCCTTGGAAGCCTTTGTGGGCTGACTGTAGATCCTCCCTAGGCTCCGAGAACCTGAGAGAAAAAGAAAAATGAAAGATACATCTTTCGAGAAGAGACTTTAAACACCAAGTTAAGCACCATAGCTTGCTTGATTCCTGCGGCCCATGCCTCAAGTGTCTGGAACATTTGGTGAGAAATTGTAGTGTTGTTGTGAGTCAGGCATTTCAACTGTATGAAATTATCCAAGCAGCATGAAAACCTTTGCCACAGCTCAGCCCCCAGTCTAACCTTGTTGCTGAAACTGAGGTACTGTCTTCAGGTAGGCCTTCTCATGATGCTTCAGCACTAACAGTGTTTAGACTCCACTCCCCTTTAATTAGCGGAGAATGGGACCCACAGATTGTTAGAGTACTTTTACATCAGTCAATAGTTTAAAAAAAATCTAGTTTTAAAAGATACCTTCTCTTATACTTGAAAAGTAAAGAAAGTTTATTGACTAGTGATGCTTCTAGTTAATTGGAGTAGAGGGATAATATCTTTATAATATGTAATATAATTTATCCCCATGGCTCTGGAATGAGGTAGCTTGAGATCCTATGCAAAACACTAATCCCCAGTTGCCATAACTTGCAGTTATTTGAAGATGATTTTTACCCACTCATGTGTGCAGTCTGTCCAGGTGACAGAGAAGAAAGGGGTGAACTAATTCTAATCATTATATATGGGAATCCTAATGGAGTCAGTGGTATCCACGCCACAGTAATCAGTAACAACTCCTCAAATTCTATCCCAGTGGTCCTCCTAAATCCTCATGTATTCACAGTATTTATCTTACTGAGAAACAAAATAAATATTTCAAAAGCCTATAATACGATTTCTAAGATTGTGCCATGTTGAATATTCTCCTATGCAGTTTGTGAAGTTATTTTCAAATATTAAAAATTATTGAGAATTACAAATGAATCAAAGAGTTGGCTCTCACGCCGACACTAGAGGGTAATAACAAGTTATTATTTGTGCACTATTTATAAAAGTTAAAACTTCCACACAAAGTTCAAATGAACCATTTTGACCGATCTGTTTCCATAACTAATTTAAAGGGGACACTAATTCTTTTCTGTGATTGGAGAAGAAAGGTAGGGGCTCTCGACCACTCTGGATGCCACGTGGTTTGAGCCATTACAAAATAATAGTTGTCTGTTATGTCAGTGGAGCAAAATCACTAAGAGAGTTTGTATTTTGTGTGAGTACAAGAACGCAGAGGGGAAAAAAATATCAAAGGATTACCAGGAATTTATTGAGGAATGCAAAACTTCTCATATGGAGAGACGCTTTACACAGCAGGGACTTCAGCCCATGTGTGAGGCAGGCTGGTTGCATGGTGAAAAACAAAACAATGCCGCCCCCTCCCCTGCCCTCGGGTGGGCCCCCCCCCCCCCACTCCATTGACATGCATAGCTAGCCTGGTAGGTGTAAAAATAGACCGGCAGTCCCTGAACTGGAAATGGTCACTGAATGCGGGCTACAGTTGCTGGGGTTTTGAGTTCTCTCTGACACCAGCAAACCGAGCAGCAGATGGGGAGAACTGGCAAGGGATATGTCGGAGAGCTGAGCAGTGGGGTCACGGAGAATGGATTGATCCTGCTAGCGCATACCCTGGAGCCCAGGCCAGCGCACCCCGGACCAGGGCAGGCCCACAGATCACCACTGTAGAGCTGAGATGGGCAATGCTGCTCTCTGCTCGTCCTGCCATGCGAACAAGAGCGTTAGAGCACAGGGCAACATGCTGGAGCTGGATCCAACTCCAGACTACTATGGCTGTAACAGTGAGGAAGCCAAAACACCTGTGTCCCGGGTAAGTGCTAGGCCATGAATGAGGAAGATGGGAGGATGTCGGTCTAAGAATCAACAGTGGTGCTCATTGGTCAAATCTCTCAACTTCCTGGAAGGAAGCTGGCGTGAAATCAAAGTGATTTCACCACCTGACTGTCTGGGACTCAGGGGCCGGGGCGGTGTGGTCTGTATGCCACAGTAGGCCCTGCGTTTATCTCTTCCTGCTTCTCTGTAGCTACAAACTGACAGGTGAAGAGGAACATTGCATTGTCTCTTTGGCTTGGAGTTTCAGCAAGGCTGAACCTGTGTGTGTGTGTGTGTGTGTGTGTGTGTGTGTGTGTGTGCGTGTGTGTGTGTGTTTGCACGCATATACCATTATAGAGTGCGTTTCAGTAGCATTGTAAAGACTCACGTTCAGGCTGCCAAATTCTTTTTCCTATTTTTCTGTTCTTGTACACTTCATTCTTTCGTTAGGCCAGAGGACATTTTGCAAACCTGTGCTAACTTAAAATCCCTGTTCTCAGCGTAAAGGCATTGTTCATGCCTTTAGTGAGTAACTTCCATGAGGCCTTCAGATAAAGATAGTAGGATCATACCAGTTTCTGAAAAGGCTTAAATGGGGAGATGAAAGATAAGTTGGCCTTCAGATTTTAATAATTCTCTAACAAATGGTCTGCAAAGACGTAATCTGACTTCAAGGTCAGTCAGTGTTGGCCCGGGTTGTCCTGTGTGCTGGAAGACTCACAGTTGACCAGAATTTCAGAGTGCTGGCCCAAGGGTTTCCAGGAGTGATCGCTGGCTGTGAGGTGTGCCTGACTCCTTGGCTTTTACTCTGACCTGGATCTTGGGAACTGTCAGATTGTATTGAAAATGAAACCCCAACTTAGAACCTGTCACTGAGAACAATTCGTAGAGCAATGCTGTAGCTGGCCAAGGAGAGCAGAAAGCCCTGGAATGAGGGAGTTACCCAGACCAGAGGAAGTGCAAGGTTTGGGAAGCAAAAGCCTTCTACAGGGACAAGAATGGCATTAGGTTGCTCGGTGAGGGGGAGCCAAGAGCAGGGAGTTGCTTCTTTTGGGTCAGAGTTGAAATTAATCACATCCAGGCCAAGATCCTTGAGGATCCCACAGTGATTTCTTCTAATGCTACAGAGCTAAGGGACAAAACAAGGTGGGTGAGAAGTAACCACACGCTTGCCTGTTCCAGAATAAAAAATATATCCTGTAATAATTAATTACCTTACTTAAAATCTGTATGGTCATGGGCTTTTCAAAATAGTTTAGAATTTAGGAGATTCAAAATACTGGTTAATAATTACATTGCTGTGTTTAAGTTATATATGTATATGCCGTTTATCTTTTAAGGGCTGGAGAACTCAAATGTAAGAGTGAAGCAAAGGTAACCCTTTAAATGTAGAGGATGGAGAAGGGATCACTTCCTGAGTTTTTATGGTGTTGATATAATTTTTGAGGTAAAGAGGAAGTGACAAGGTAATCTTGAAACTCCAGGGCTAGAATGAGAAATTCATCCAGGGTTCAAAATTTCATTAAAATGATATTTCAGAGTGTTGTGCTTTTTTCTGGTACACACCTATAATCCCCAAACTCAGGAGACTGTTGCAGGCTGACCTCACTCCCCAAATATTGGTGATGGTAAAAAACAATACATTCTTCTTCAGTGCCATTATTATGCATTTACATTTGAGATTTTCTAGATAGGTGCTAATAAAGAGGAAGTCAGAGCAGAATGATTGCCAGAAGCTAATATAATTAAGCATGAGCACATATAAAGTAATTATAAACGTCAGTCTAAGCATTATTTTGACTGGATGATAACTCTTCATCTAAAAAGCAAATTTTGAGAAAATTAAAGTAAAAAAAGGGGGGGTATCAACTTTTTAAAATTCTGTATTTGGGAAGTAGTATATTATTGTTAGAAGGTCTCCATAGATGGAGGCTTAAATCTAGAGTACAGTTAATCAGACTCTGGAGAGGTCCTGTGAGTGAATGCGCTAGTCTTCTGGCACAGGGTCCCCATTGTAGACTAGACTACGCCTCTCTGCATTGGTTGTCATAGCAACAGATACACAAATGGACTTTGCTGTAGTCACATAGTGGCAAAGTCCTTCTGTTATGAAAGTTTTGACTAAATGATGCAGTCAGTAATTAATGATTTTAGTTACTGTTTTGCTCATTTATAAAAGTAAACATTAAAAGTTACTATATATCTATTATTTTATTAAAAGTATATAATCTAATGATCTTCAGTTTTGGAAAATTGTGCAGACTTCTAGGCATTCTGGGTACATAAATTGTAGCAGTTATTTTGAAAGCAGCTTGGGAAACTATACCAACATTTTTTGCAATTCCTGGTTTTCACTTAGCCATAGCCAATGCCATTTAGGACTCCATCACCAGGAGGTGTTTGCACTGAGAAGGAAGGCAGACCGACCCGCTAGACAGATGTACCACATCCAACTCCATATAACTGGTTGCAGAGCCACACAGCCGAGCATTCCCACAGCTACTCACCCTGCAAAGGCCCAGGAGAACACCCACCTGTGAAAGTATCCCTTCAGATCTCCTGAGAACATGGCTGCTTTCCTAATGAAAATGTCACCCCTCCTTCGCTTATGGATTTCCTCGGAATCGTGTTGCTGCTTATATTGCGTTAGTCTCCGTAGGGGTCAAAGATCTGCCATTCTAGTCATTGTCTTCTCAGCTTCTGGAAAGAAGAAACATTCAGGGCAGGAGAGGGTGGAGACAAAAGCAACTGCTATAGATCTTTCTACAGAGTAGGTCCTGGAGGGATTTTCATTTCTTTCTATCATTTTTGTGTCGTGTTAATTTCATGTTTTATTACAGAAGGGGAAATGTATCACTTCTCAGATTCATCTCTAGTCCCACTTTTTAGGTGGCCTTTGTATCTTTTAATTTCAATTGGGAGAGATGTAGCAAGTCCACTCCCCAGGATGTTTCTGTCTGGGGCATCGCCTAAAGGCCTTGCAGCTTCCGTGTAGGCTTCATGGAATTTTGACATGATCTGCTAAGGCTCCATCAAGAACATTGTCAGAGAACACTGTCTTTGTTTTGCCCTATATTCTTATTGCCCTCACTTATGAATTTACATATTGGTTTACATATAATCTATTGTTTTGCATTATGATCACTTTCTTTTGTACTTCATTACATCAAATTGATTTTTAAATTCATTCTAAGAGGAAACCATAAATGTGGCACTTCATCACGAATGTTGTTTTGATTACCCAACTCGGTTGAGTTTGGAATCATTTTGACTTTAATGTGTTCCTTTTCAGAGGGTTCCATTTCCTTGCTTCATTTATTTTCATATTTTGCCCCAATTATAGTAGAAACATTTCAGCTGTTTATTTTGCACTTTGTATCATTCTGTAGTCTGCTTCTGATTTTGTACTGTGAGCAGTGAGCCCTGTGATATTATAAAAACAAGTCAACACTCTTCTATTAGGTTGATGCAAAAACCAAGTCAACAACAGCTCTTTACTGAGTGAGACATAGTTATTATAGGGGCAGGACGTGTAGCTACAAGATGGAATTCTGCAGTATGGGGAGCAGATTCTAACCAAGCAGAGAGACACAAGCATGCTGCCTCACTGAGAGTGAAATGAGCCAGTATGTTGGAAGCAGGCGGGAGAGAGAGAGAGAGAGAATATTGTGAATCCTATTAGTATGTCAAGAGGGTTAAACTTTTCAGGTTTTTAACACAAAAGGAATAAAATAGGCAAGTTGAAATTATATAAAAGATAAGAAAAGATACTCACGTTGTTAGATAATAACTCTAATATGACCTAAGGATATAGTAAAAAACCATCCCATTAAAGTATTTCAAAGAGTAATAAATGATGCAGAACATGGCCTTATACCTTTGGGATACATTTTTTAATGATAGCGATCAGAAGTGGTCTAATTTTCGAAGTAGAACTTAGACACATAAAATCAGAGTATAAGACAAAATTAAGCGGTGTCATGAGGGATGAAGTAGATCCTCGTAGGATGCTGATGAAGAGAAGGACCACTGTAGGCCTTTGTACCCTGGAATGATTCATGACCAGGGGCATTCAGCAGATCTGTAGCAGAAGAACTTCCATGCAAACTAACTCACTAGAGAGCTGCTGCTATGAGCCTATCAACCTACACCTTCTACTGATGCCAAGCAGACCCTTGTACCCAGGATCTAACGCTGCCCCCGCAACCTTCTTACACCCTTTAAATAAGAAAGCAAGATGACACCTGGATTTCTAGGGCTGTCAGCCTCAGTGCTGAAGCCAGTATCCACTGTGATTTGTAGGTGTCTAGGTGGAATTAACTCTTAGTATGCAGACTGTCACTCCTGATAATGGAGGAGGGGGAACTTGAAGTAGATCTTGGAAGCTGTCGGAAAGTAGAGTTTGGATTGCCGTGTGAAGAAATTACACTTCTGCTTTCAGTAAGCATGAGTGAGCCAGGCACTGGTCTGAAGGAATGTCCTAAGATGGACAAAGCAGACTCTCCATTAGAAGATTTGAAGGTGCTACGGAGCTTCTGAGTTTGCAACTCACTTTCCATAAGAGCTACAAAAATATAAAGTTTACTTAGCTCATGTAAAGACTATCCAGTTAATCTTGGAGTCAGTGGTGTGACATTAGAGTGATCTAGAAATACCATGCACCCTCTCTCTAGCTGTAACACCTGCTGGTCAGGCACAGAAACAAGGAAATTTGGGTAAAAAGCATAGGATTTTATTATTATTGTTGTTGTTATTATTTTGTTATTGCATTACTATTATTATACTATTATTTTTTTATATTATATAAAATAATTATATAATAGTAATATTATATTACTATTATTATACTATTATATTATCATTATTGTAATATAAACCAAGATTTAAAACATGGACTGTGTACTAGAGGGAGACCACAGACCAAAGGCATTTATGGAGAACTGGTTAGATTGTGTTCATATATCATGAACTAGCTTCTTTTTGACATACTCAACAAAG